AAAACATCAAATGGCTGCGGAGTCACAAACGACGAATCAGCTGCCCTACCAAGACCATCACCAAACACTTCTGGAACCCCTCTTCTCTGTTGCATAGTTACAAAACGATCTTGCATATGCTGCTGCACTGTCTGTAGCTGTCCCTCACTCATGCTACCTAACATGGCCATGACCTCTTGGATCTGCGCCGCCTGAGGCGTCAAACCTCCCAAGCTCGCTCCAACCGGGCCACTCGGCATGTTTCCTTGGCAACTCATTGGGTTCACTCCTAAGTTTGGAAAATCTCCAGACCTTGGTCCACCAGGCATACTCGCACAACCATAACTTGGCACACGCGCTTGCGAATTCTGTTGCATAAACGTTTGTTGTTGGGGAATCCATTGCGCACCAAACCATGCTGGTCCCTGTCCTTGCATTCCGGGGACATTTCCTTGTTGACATCCCTGCACCGGACCTCCTTGACCACCTGCATCCAGGTTTGTCGTGCTCGCAAATCCCTGTACGTTCTGTGACACATTTGCTTGTTGTTGCTGGGGCATGTTACTTGCTTCAGGCGTTTGTCCATCCATCCCAGATCCACTACCTTGCTGACTAGGCGTTCTAGGCACTGGCGGCAATCCGTCACTACGGTTACAACCACCATTTCCGGTGCCAGGTGGCAATCCGTCTCCACGGTTACAACCACCACTTCCTTCACCTCTTTCAGCCATACCAGGACTAGGACAACCTTGCACACCTTGGCTCACACTACCTGGATCCATTCCTACTACGCCTCTACGAGCTGCAAGCAGGCAGCTCTGCTACCATGCGCAAGGCCAACAGCCTTCGAAAATTCTAGACTTACTTGGGTCAGCGTCCAGGACGTCGTCCTTAACACACTAAAAGACCGTCCACGCAACCAAGTCAAACACTCCCAGAGCTCAGCCACTTTTACCCAACACACAAGCACAGAAATGTCTTGCTCATGTCGCTATGGTTCTTGTTGGTGTGTCACGCCTTGACACAAAATGATGCGGAGTCGCCAGTTAGCATCTTTCTGCCAACTTCACAAAAGCGATCAAAAACACATGTCTTCACAAAAAGTCTTTACATCAAGACATGGTTTGTTTGTTTAAATAAGTTTGAGTGTTTGAAAAACGTTGAAACATTTCAAGCACCAAAACATGATTCATGATGTCTCCCTCAGATCTGTTAGCAACTCCTGTTCTGAATGCCTTTCAGAATGTTGCTCTCGTTATCATCATTGAGACACAAAACAAACTAAACTTCTCCGATCAATGTCAAACAAAGTTCCTTCTTCCGAAATCACAAAATGAATTCTACGATCTTCTCACGATTCCTTCGTGCACTTCGTCGACGACAACTGACGCAAAAGGTATGAAAAATGGTTTGATTTTCCATGTCACTATACAAATTCAAATCCTCACAATGTTCTCCGTGCAATCAAAGTACTCAAAGAAGACGAAAAATATATCGTTGTTGTTGGGCTTCGTCATCTCCAATAAAACGTGCAAAACATGAAACGTGCAAATACGATGTCAACCATCACGGTTGAGCTCACCATCAAGGTGAAAACCAAATTCACTTCTTCCAATGCAGAAAAGACCAATGAAAAGACCAATGGATTCATCTCACGGATGTCGGAAATTTTCACATTTTCGGTGGTCCTTTTTTTTAACGATCTGCCGAGAACCATCTGGCACGGAAACCCCGTTTTTTTTTTGTGGTCGGCGCCCGTTGCCGGGTCGCACTTGAGACTCCCGAGTGGACCAGCAGGGATTCGAACCGCCACCGGCAGTCTGTCAGCGCTGGCAAGACCAACGCCATACCAACTGAGCCATCGGATCGCCTATCTGGCACGGAAACCTCGTGTTCCACCGTTCGATGATGTGACATAAAGTTACTGATCTGCAATGCTTGTGTTCATGGATCACGAGTTCCGGGTATCGTGCCGCAACTGTGGCCTTATGCGGCGTGCATGGGAAGTGTCTCCTATCTCGGTTGAGCCAACTGGCCGCTGGAGTAATTTTTTCCGGTTAGCTACTGCAGCTCGACCTTTGGATTCTCTGGGGGTTGCCGATGTCACCGACAAAAACAATCAGCGTGGGCTGCTGTACGGCTGTGTGGGGCTCTGCCCTCTGCACCATGTTGCGGGTGTTGTGTACTTTTCTTTCCTGCACTGAGGTATTCGCCCTCGGGTGATCCGGAACCTCCCTCTGGACGCTGTCAGAGCTGCATGCGGCCACCTCGGCCGTGCTGCTTTCTCCTCTCCTGTCCTTTGCTGCCTTCTCTGGCACCTTCTCCCTCTTGCTGCTGCTGGTCTCCGCTTGATTCAAGGCATCATGGTTCGCAACTCAGTCTTCAAGTGGTCGATTTTTGCTGTTCTTATTTCTGTTGTTTTTTTGTTTTTCGTCTCTCGTCTAGTTTTGTTGGTGTGTTTTGTTGCTGTGTCTGTTTTTTTCCGACTAACGCCTTCATGGCTTCCGCCAGGTCGTCAGCCCATGGCTCCGGCCTATTTCCTACTCCTCTTACAGAATAAGACAGACGAGCCAGAGAGACAGGGTCACAGGACAGCCAAGACAAACAAAAAACAAACGAATTCAGCTTTTTTTTCCGTCCAACGCCTTCATGGCTTCCGCCAGAAAAAAAACAAACGAATTCAGCTGGCTCACAACAGACACAACAAAACACGTGGCTATCGACAAGTGACAGCCTTGCATGATAATTACAAGTCATCTTTTTGCTGCGATTGAACGTGTGTAATGCACTGCTGAACAGTTCTGCAAACATTTTTCAGCTTGGCGCCCTTGACAGTGCACGTTTGAGAAATTGCTACTGTTGCGGCCGTGCCAGGAATGTTTTACTGACTTTGCATGTTGTGCCAGGAATGTTCTCGCTTTCGACCTGGCACGGTATTCATGTCCACCCAGAGACGAACTTGAGGAGTGGCGGACGACGACTGGTCACCTACCTGGCCATATGTGACCGCACAGCCACGGAGCTGCCCCGCAGAGGGGCGGCACAATAGCCATCTGGCCGCCAACAATACACTCTCCCTGCTCATGAATACACCGTTCGGTACACGGCACTTTCTTTTGGACTGAACACCTGAACAAGAACCTGTGAGAGGACTCTGAGAGGCTAAGTGACGCTAATGCATTCTTTTGTCTGTCGTGTTTTGTTCTGGGTTTTTTTGATTTGCCATGCTACGTGACCACAGGTGTCCATGAGAATTTATTTCAAACTGCTTCTTCACATGTAAGGACCGAGCCTTAGAGCGTGATCGGCCATACCAGAGGAAAAAAATGCAAACAGAGTCAGTTGACCCTGGTCTTGAGTCTTACTCGCGGACCAGCGGGAATCGAACCACCACCAGTAGTCTGTCAGCGACACAACACAAAATCATAGAACAAAGCCAATGAATGGAGTCGAATAAAACAAGATAACTCTCGCAAATATGAACGCCCTGGGTTTTCCACCGACCAATTAATATTCCTGTTTGATAGCCAAGCGCAAAAATCAGCCGTCATCAAATAAATACGGTTTGCTGTTGCAAGTTGCACACACTCCAAAGAACCATAAAGCCCTAGCAAACCCATAGGAAACTGTCCTGATCGTAATGGCCGTGGACAAATCGCTTCCGCAAAGAGAGGAGGCGATCTCGAGCACGTGACGCAGTCCCACAGGGAGGTGCAATATGCACAGATAATTCATGTGTCTCACAAATACGACAGCAATTTGCCAAGAACCTTCATCTGCCAGATCCAAATTCATAACATGATGATGAGATCTATGTCGATTTCGAATGTTTTTTTATTGTAATCGGCAGTGAGGCCGGTTCTAGCAGCGAGCACAGCACAAACCCGCCTCCTGCCATACGCTGCAATAGGCACCGGAGTGAGCGGAGAACCTTGGGCAGAGAAGTGGATCAATTCGAGGGCAGAGGAGCTTGGACGGGAGCCGGATCCTTTCCTATCCGCATTCAGTTGCAAAACGGGAAGATGGTCAACCACTCCAATGTCTAGCTCAGAGGCCACGGGTTATCTTCAGGATTTCATCAATGAATGCCTGCCTCTGCCCGATTTGAAGATTGATCTCAACAAGATAGGTACCCATTCTCTCAAGACGGGTTTGCTCACCATGGCCGCCAGATCGACATCCATCAAATTTTCGATGTCGGAACGCAGAACTTTGGGACATCACATCAAGCCGTCAGCCAGGTCTGTCCTCACATACTCGAGGGAAGCTTTCACCAGCCTATATGCCAAGGTGCTGGCGTGCTTTCAACAGATCCAAGCAGGAACCTTTCGCCCTGATTCGACAGCTCTTGAACGGATTATGGATGCTGCAACAGAAATGGTCTCAGGGTTGCCAGCTCATCCGGAGGGTCCGCTGCCCACCCGTGAGGTGCCGGACGAAGCAGATCCATGGGAGGTTTCGTCAGAGTCCAGTGAGGAGGACCAGGCCCTGGTTGGAGTTTTGAGCAATCAGGAAGAGGTACAAGGCAGAAAACCCTTTCCAAGTGAACAGGAGGTAGATTGCATCGTCCACAGGAAAAGTGGCATTGTCCATGCCTTGCAACCGTTGGGAGACTACACGTTGTGCGGTCGTCCAGTGACCAGCAACTACGTAGAATTACAGAAAGCCGACACCGAAGACATGGAATGCTGCATCCTTTGTGGCCGCCAACTAGGAGTAGCAGCTAAATCGGGCTGAACATGCGACGAGAGAAAAAAGGAGCGCGGCCTCAGTTTCAGTCGCTTCAGAGTGAGATATGTCAACTTTGAAGAGTCACTTATATACATAGCAACATGAATGTTTCAAGCTTAACCAAGATCAGCAGAGATCAAGGTTGACGTTAAAGAGGAACACGGAAAGAGACTCGCAAACTGCGATATATCGAAACGATTAGACGTGATCAGCAGAGATCGAGTCTAGTCTCGACGGAGTTCACCAGCAGTTTCAATCTGATACCTGAATCGCTCCATCCAATATCCGCAATGTTGGCACTTGAGATTCAGTCCTTTATGGTCATGATCTACACCTGGATGGGGGATGATCCAACGGGCCAAAATCGGTTTGACTGCCAGGAAAAATTGGAGAGCTTGGCCGAATGCATCAGCAGGGTGATCCGACACCTGGGCTTGAGCAATTTGACCGAGCACCTGGGCGACTTGTGGGTGAATACCCGAAGGGCATTATGCTCTTTCAAAGGAGTCAAACTGGAAGCGTCTGGTGACATATCCATATCGGCGATTGGGGCCATTCCTCATCGAACAAGGGGCTTCAGGGCCCTAAGGGAGCTGGACCATTGCATTCTCCAAATTGAGCTGGAAGAAGCCTATGAGACCGTGCAAGAGTTGATTCTTGCTTGTGATCCAGGGACTCAGTTGGAGACATCCATGCAGTTGATTTTTGATACCATGGAGGATATGATGATTATCATCAGTGCTCCCATCGACCTTAAACCTGCCGATTAACAAAATTCGGACATCAGTCAGGATCAGCGGCGAGGAAAAAGTGGAGGCAGCTCGGCTGACCAGCGAAGTTGAAGATGTTGGCATCAGAGCCGCACTGCAAAGTCAGATAAATTAAGACAGATGCAGTCACAATGAGCATGAAATCAGATTCAAGTTCATTGTGCATGGCCGCAGCCCAATTTTTGGGAACAATTTTTTCATCCCCAGGTTTGAAAGCACAACCAAGAATAGACTTTACATGTATGTTCAAACAAAATGTTCATCAGAGAGCATTGCACACGTTTATGTCACACCACAACTAGGCAAACAGGATGCCACCTGACATTCGACAGAGATAAAAAACTACTTTCCACATACAACTTATATTAACAAAAGATCCAATTACGTCTGACAGCCATGTCCGTTCTTGACAGCAAAGCTGCTTTTGCAGACAGGCTAAAACAATTGGGAATCGAAGATGCCCTCAAGGGCAAGTTACAAGACAGAGGCATTTGCAGTATCCACAACTCCGCAGCAGATCACAGATGCAGTGTTAGAAGCCTGGCTGCTCAAGGTCACCACCCGAGACCTAAGCCCATATCAGACATCCTGTGTGAGACGCTTAGTCGTGGAGAGTCATGCATTAGCATTGAATGACCTGCAGCGCAAGGTGGATCAACCATCGGACCCTCAGTTAGCAGCAAGAAAGCTTCCAGTTGCAGAGCGTCAAAGTCGCCAGACAGAGCAGGAGCAGCGACTGCAGGGCTTGATCTTCAGCCCAGAAATCATCCCGAGCCATGCCTTAGTGGATACATGTGTCAACATGGTGGAGCAAGGAGTTCTTTCTTGGATCAAACCCGAGGATTGCACTTCCAGAGCACAGGAAATCCAGTCACTCAAGAGGGACCCCAAAGTTTCTTTAGATGCAGCCGGAAACTTGAAGATTAGTTCCAAGACCATGAACAGCACATGCACCATTAGCTCAGAGTTGGATCTGCGTAATGCCTTCCAACGCCGATCCCTTGCCATGGATCAAGCGAAGTTGTGCTCATTTACAGAGATTGAACGTTGGATTCAACATTTGTTCCTGTCACACGAACGGGCTCAGCCATCGGGATTTGCATCCGTGACCTTGCAACAGATCATCGAGTGTGACAAGCAAATGTTCATCCGTGCATCCAATGCCTTAATAGGATCCTTGCAAGCCGAGCCGGGGGTCGCAGTGACCCCCTTGGACAAAGAGCTCGCTACACTCCGCACTTCCCCAGAGCTCATGCCATACCTCATGCCCATGCCAATGAAATCGGTGCCCAAAACAGGAGCTCCTAAGCCAGATAAAAGGCAGCCACCGGATTATGAAGATCGTCCAAACAAGTACCAAAAAGGCAAGGGCAAGGGAAAAAGCAAAGGCAAAGGAAAGTCCAAAGGGTCCAAAGGATCATCGTCGGCAATCGACATTCCTCAGGGCTGTGTTGCAAAAACCCCAGATGGAAAGCCGTTGTGCTTCGCATACAACAAGGGCATCTGTGGATTTCGAGGGTCTGGGCCTCGTTGTCAGAGAGGCTATCATCTCTGCTACAAACAGGGATGCCATAAGCCCAAGCCATACCATGAGTGCAGTCACTCCAAAGAGTGACAATCACAATCCAGCGAAGGCAAGGAAGAACAAACCATCCATCCTTTGCCTTCCATACTGGGGAGGACCGCTTTTGGGAGTCCAAATTCTATATACCTTTCCAACCCCAAAAATGGGCATCAAACAAATCGAACAGTTCAGTGACATCATCTTGCGCATCTTGCGGTTTCTTGCGGAGTCGTCTGGAGTCACAAAGTTGGAACTCTTTCAACCCTTTCCACATTGTAAATAGGGTTTCAGCAGGTGTACCGACTCCGCCCGACTCCGGCAAAACTCCGCAGCTAACGACATCAAAACTGGCACAAAACTGTGGTAAAACGGAAGTTTTGCATCTCCAGCCTTCTTACGGAATCTGCTGGAGTCATGAAATCGAAACTCTTCCCCCAATGTAAACAAAGGATTCATCCGGTTTTAAATATATACTATTATTCTTTAACCGGATGATACTGAACTCCGGGCGACATACACAACCCGACCCGCAAAGTTGCCGCGTTAGGAGTCTAGGGGGGCGAAGGGGGGGAGCCCAAAAACAAACAACGCATCAAGAGACCAAAACAAAACTGAGCAGTGCGACGCCCAATCGTGACAAAACGATTCACTGCCAACGCAAACACAGAAAAAAGCATCCCGCCAGCAATGTCGCAGCGGAATCAGCACCTCACCCAAGCCATGTTGCGAAAGCCTGCGACAACAACACCCAAACAATTCCAAACAACATGGCGCTTTGGCAAAGATTGGCAACATGCAGGCGGGGCGGCTAGAGACCTTCAATCAGCAACCGTGTTCCCCGGAATCCTGCCATTCCGTTACACTTGCAAAAGTTTTGCTTTTTGTTAAAGCTGCGCCATTTTTCGCAAAAAAGGTCACTGCAGCAATCTCATTTTCGGGGGCGTAAACACATTGGCTTTTTGGACTCCAAGAAGTGGTCCTCCCCAGTAGTTTCACCTCAGCAGCCGTTTGCCGTCGAAATCTGTTGTGGGAAAGCATCCTTGTCCAGAAGTCTGATTGACGCAGGTTTTTCCGTACTAGCTGTGCTTCATGACCCCCAAGTGCCAGTCACCCTCTTGGATTTGACACAGGTCCAACACCAGAAGATCTTAATTGATCTTTTGCATAACCTTTTTTCCAACGCCTTCATGGCTTTCGTCAGGTCGTTACAAACGTTCAACCGCAGCAGACGAGCTGAATTGTAATTGCTTGCAAGGCCGTCAAAGGATTCAGCAGCCTCAAAAGAGCTGGTTGTGGACCATTACAAAGTCCAGTGGGCAATCCTATCAAAGACAACGCAAACCAAAAAAGGGACCGAAAAGCAAACAAAACCAAAACAAACACCCAAAAAGAAACACCCAAAAAAGGTCAAAGACAGGATTGCAACCAGCAGTTGGAGTTCCATGCACGATGACATCTTATGTGTCATCCTAAAAATGGCCCAAAATAAACCACAAAACAGACGAACAAAAACACACTAAAGGGCCACATTGGGTGATAGAAGCAACAAAAGCTCGATGCGGAAACCGGGGATCCCCCAGCCAGGATCCCCGAGATCACAAAGAGCAGCCGTACCGGCATGATATTCACCCATGCACTTCGAAGCAAACACCGACAACGCCGGGTCGCAACGAGAGTGGTGAGAAATGAGAGAAAGGTGAAATTGATCTTTTGCATAACCGACCGCCAGACTATATTCATTTGGGTATGCCATGCGGCACTGCATCCCGAGCCCGGGAAAGGCCCGTTGCCAGGGATAAAATTCTCCAGGGAGCACCACAGCCTCCGTCTCTGCGATCAGCCGATTACCCACTAGGCCTTCCCCACATTAATCCAGATAGCACATCCGGCATTAGACTGAGCAAAGCAAACCAGTTGTACAGATTTGTCATTGACATCCTCGTAATTGCTCAGAAATACAACTCAGTGATTAGCTTGGAGAACCCTTACCGATCTTGGTTTTGGGCAGCCATTTTGGCATATGTACAGGCTCAAAACGATCCCCAATTAGTCAAGTTTTGGGATTCACTTGCTGAGGTCTTTTTTCACAAACGGCGGTCAGCGCAAGAAAGGCACCCGTTGGAAATCCACTCCAGGAGTTTTCGCCCATCTCGAAGCCACCTGTGCTGGTGATCACGAACACCTACCATACCAGGTTCAGCAGACCAATGGCAGCTGGACATTCGACACAGCGGCCGAAGCAGCTTTCTCTGAGTTGCTGACACGTCGTGTGGCAATGGCTGTCAAAAACTTTCTCATGCAACGAAACTTGATTTTTAGTCCACTCTCGAATCCCAGTCATCTCCTCAGACCTGACTTCTGAATTACTGCATTGCTTGTCCACGCTTCCAGACCCATGGCCCCTGGCCAAGATCACCATAGACATGGAGAAGCCGAGCCAGTGGGTCTCCAAGTTGTGCAGACTCTACTTCGCTATATTCATGCCAAGCGAACGGTCGGACTGCCTTCACGCAGCATGTCCCGGACATTGCGGGCGCGCTTCGAGCAGTCCAGACCATCCTCCCCAAACTCGAAGTCAAAATGATTGAATTTTTAGCTGAATGGATGGTCACTCTTTTAATGCCAGCATCGCACGTACTGGAAGTGAGGGCACCTCACCTTTCCTTTATGATGCTCAAGGAATACTGGTTTAGAGAGCTGTACTCCTGTTGGCCAAGAAGCATGGGCTGCGTAGCGACCGCAATTATTATATGCCAGCTAACCTTGCCGATGCAATGATCCGACTGCTGGACGGTTCGGCCAATGAAGGTTTAGCGGCTCTTAGTCAAATCCTCAAACGAGGCCAGCCCACGTTAGGTCAGCTATGGACAAGTCACCTCTCGCCGCAAGATGCGGAAGACCTCAGGGCAGCCAGCACTGTTCTCCCAGGCCTTAAAGCCCAATTTGAAGCCGCCCAGCCAAATATGCAACGGCACTCCCGATTTGTGGACTCAGAACTGCTGGCAGGTACCGCTATTAATTTTCCACGGTCCCTCGTGCGCCTTGCCTGGATCTTGCAGCATGCCGCTACTCTCCTACCCATGGCTGGAGACATACAAGCAATTTTAAATTCCCAGACCGCCGGAGTGAGTGACATCCATGCTTGGGGGTTAATGCTTCCCTCCAGCTCTAGGGTTAGTCCTGTGACATACCATGCAGTGGTTGCAGTTAGATATCCCGATCTCTGCAGGCAAATCAATGGCCTATGGGAACTGGGAAGTTTTGCCTCGGGAGGACTTCCCGACAAGCCACCAGGGTTCCAATTAGTGCTTTGGGATACTAATGCTAGGATTAACGGGTTGGTAGCGACAGACCTGGAGACTCTTGTGTCAGAGGTACTCACCCCCTTCCCACACAATGCTGGATTTGCAGATGGACTTTTTATAATGACCACGGCAACAGATCACAAGAACAACTTGAACCGCTCCGTGCTCAAAAGGGATTATGTCCGCACCCTGCGTGTAGAAACAATAGCCAATTCAGCAGGAGGAACAGCACAGGTATCAATCGTAGCTCAGCCCAGTATTGGATTTTTAAACACCAAATACTACTCCAATGGCTCCCCTACAGAAGATACCGAAGACTGCCTTGGCAGAATCACTGTCGGACTCACCCGGTCCAAATTGTTAACCCTGCTTGTCTCCCCGCTAGACATGATGGGGCTCATGGGCATGGCGCAGGTGATTGCGACAATTGCATACGGCATCCGGGGCCTTCGGAGAGGAGAAACTACATGGAGGTGGCCTGACTTTGATTCTGACCCAGTTCAAGAGAATCTAGCACAGTTAAGCCGGTGGTCACTGAATTCGGCGCCAACCTGGGAGTTCCCTCCCTTGCAATCGCCAACCAATACTACGATCAGCAAGCCGACGAAGTGAAGCGAGCGAGATACCGTCTGATATTGGTGCGCGGGTCGGATCTTCGCTGGCTAAACAGGGAGCGCCTCCAAGAAGTGAAAACAGGCTTAGCAACTCAACACAAGTGGCTCCCCGAGCAGAATCTCCCTTTCTCTGAAGTCGTCCTGTATGCCTACGCGGCTGATCGCACACCCTTTCCCACCTACGTGTGCCTGCCCTCAGCAAGTAGTAGCGCAGACGGGCCCAGAACAGGAGATCCTGTCCCTGCCTGGTGTATTCTTTGATGGATGGCGATTACACCCTAAGTTGCCGATCCCAGACCACTTGCCGCGCGCAAAAGAGGCGCCAGTCCAAGGTACCGCTCTCACTGCACCTGCACCTGGTGCGGAACCCAAACGGTCGCCTGAAGAAGAAGCGAGAGACATCCTCGCAGTAGCTGCCAAGAATCAGCCCGAAGATGGGCCAAACACAAGAAGGGCAGCTGTCCGCGCATGCAAGTACTTAAGAGCCATGGTCAACCAATATGAGACCACCATCCAAGCCGTGCATGAAGCCGCCCGCACCCATGCGCAAAAAAGCAAGGGCACGGCAGGACCAGCAGTTGACTATCGCCCGCAAGGAGAAGCCCTCCCAGTTATCTCCGCAGACCTGACCTCCGAATTGCTGCATTGTTTGTCCACGCTCCCAGACCCATGGCCTCTGGCCAAGATCACCACAGACATGGAGAAACCGAGCCAGTGGGTCTCCAAGTTGTGCAGACTCTACTTCGCTATATTCATGCCAAGCGAACGGTCGGACTGCCTTCACGCAGCATGTTCCGGACATTGCGGGCGCGCTTCGAGCAGTCCAGACCATCCTCCCCAAACTCGAAGTCAAAATGATTGAATTTTTAGCTGAATGGATGGTCACTCTTTTAATGCCAGCATCGCACGTATTGGAAGTGAGGGCACCTCACCTTTCCTTTATGATGCTCAAGGAATACTGGTTTAGAGAGCTGTACCTAGGCCTGAAAGTCACAGCATCCTTCGACCGCTCTGAATTATACACCAGAGTGATCGATGTCAGGTAAGATGTATCACGCCTGAAGTTGAGCCGCAGAATTTGCAGGTCATTTGGAATGTGCAGTTTATCACAGTTTTTGTGCCGGCATGGATGATCCCACCCGTCTACCACAGCCTGCGCAGAGAAAGCATCAAAACCGCTAGTTCTGCAAGTCCCATAGGTGTCCAGTCGGTCCGCCCCACCTGGTTTGAAGACACAACACCCAAGGATACCGCATCCCAACCATCTCAAGACCCTCAAAAAGAACAGGCCCCAGCCACTACACGGGCTGAAGTTAGTTATCAAAGAAGAGGTGTTACCGACGAATGACCAACCAGAATTCCCATCGCTCGAACTGTTGGCTGGCAGAGGCCTTTTAGCACCTGACACATGGAAGTGCAAACGTGCGCAAGTTAGCCTCAAAGCAACTTTGATGTCCCTATGTTGGGTACAATCATAGAGCAAAATGGTGATGGACTCCTGGAAGACTCCCACATGCCCGTGGGATGGCCACTCCACATTGATGGTGCTATCAGACAATGTTGTATTCACAGAGCAGCGAGCCTGATATGCTCAAAGAACATGACATGAAAGGGGATTCAGTTGAAATCAACCACGACGCGCCTCAATGGTCCCATCATGCAGTGTGGAACCGACGGTATATGGAACCGAAACCAGGATATACACTGGAACAACTATGGGCTGACTCCGAGCCTGCCATAAGCAAGAAAACGACCACGTCATATGAAGTGCAAACAAATGACGTCTTGCGTGCAGTAGCGGCCATTCAGCATCTCCTATCCCCCATGCCACCCGATAGCCCCTTCCTAAGAGCGTTAGGGACAACAGCTGCTCTCAAAGCCCCACCATAAACTGACACCCTAGCGCAAAGAGCCCTGGAGGAATGGGAACGCACTTTGTGTGAAAACAAGGCAGTGGCAATCCTCGCCGAGGTGCAAGCCGGCCGACCAACTGTAATCCACAAAGATGGTGGCGAAATGCTCATTGCCATTGTCCTTGACAGGCCACTAGCGGAAGCGAAGGAACTAGTTGATGACCCTGAGCATTCACTCGCGAAATGACGCGGATCCTGCGCGACAAGCAAACACTCATCGCCCAAATGATGAGACCAGCGGAGAGCAGTGATCCACTCCCCGCCACTGCTGCAGCCAGTGGCGCTAGTAGCAGGGAGAACCTCGCGCCACCTCACACGTGCAGTTCCAGTAAGCCACTCGAGGTGACGTAGAGCATCCAAGCTTCCCATCCATGCATTCAGCCTGTAACTTGAGGCTTTACGTCTACCTACAAACCTGTAGACAACTTAGTCCTTTGGAATGGAGCGACCGACTCCTATCAAAGACGTCGCTGTCCATCGTCTTGCAAAGTCCATTACTCAACTGACCCTCTGCCAGGTCACTACCAGTGAAGTCGATGATGTGAAAATTTGACATCTGTGGTGAGATGAATCCATTGGTCTTTTCTGCATTGGAAGAAGTGAATTTGGTTTTCATCTTGATGATGAGCTCAACCGTGATGGTTGACATCGTATTTGCACGTTTCATGTTTTGCACGTTTTATTGGAGATGACGAAACCCAACAACGATACACTTTTCGTCTTCTTTGAGTACTTTGATTGCACGGAGAACATTGTGAGGATTTGAATTTGTATAGTGACATGGAAAATCAAACCATTTTCCATATACTTTGCTTTAGTTTTGTCGACAGAATCATCGCAGAAGTGCACGAAGGAATCGTGAGAAGATCGTAGAATTCATTTTTGACTTCGGAAGAAGGAACTTTGTTTGACATTGATTGGAGAAGAGTAGTGTGTTTTGTCTCTCAATGATGATAGCGAGAGCAACGTTCTGAAAGGCATTCAGAACTGGAGTTGCTAACAGATCTGAGGGAGACATCATGA